TTGCATACTTATTAATTAGTACTTTTCCTCATGATTTGTTTCTATTCTGGTTGAGGTGCTAATGCAATGATTATTACTTTACTCATGTAACTGTGAGCAATTAAATTGGTCTTGTTTATGTTGTTGATTTTGAATTTTTGTTGCATTTTGTTATAGAATGATAGTTTATTTATATATAGAGAGAGATAGAAGAGAAATCAAATGCAAACCATGAAAAGGTTACAAACCATACAAATCAACTAATTAAGATATTTATGATAATGATCAAGATTCATTTATTATGATTTAAATATTTATGAAAGATGATTTGAGTTCGTTAATTATGACCAATGTTGTATATTATTTTTATAAAGCCAAATATTTGTTAAACTAGATAGACAATTGAGATTGGTTTCCATGGATTGTAACCTTTCCATGGATTGTATTTGATTTATTTTCTCTCTATGTGTGTGTATATATTTACAGGTTATATGTATTTTTTCTTTCATCATCAATGACACATGACATCCTTTTGCACTTACTGAATCATTTTTGGTATGGCATTCACATGCATTTGACATAATCTACCTGTTAAAATAGAGAAATCCTTGCCATGGCTAAGTTTAGTTGTTGTTTTGGGATGGTAGCTTTATCAAAAGTGGATGATCATAGAGGTATTGAAATTTATATATAATTCATGCTTTGAGTAGTGTTTCTTCAACTCTTTTTCCACTTACATAATAATAATAGCTTGTGTGATGCTAATAATTTTCTTGGAAACTCTCAACAAACAATCGAGGGAACCACCTTGATGTTAGTAGAGGTAAGACCACCTGCTAAGATCATTTAGGTAGCATGTGGTACACATACATGATTGGACTAGACATGACAAGACTGGACATGACCGGATAAGATATAATTGGTGGTGGAGGCAACGGGCAGTTGTGACCCTTAAAACATATTAGATAGTAAGGCTATATCAAATGAGGGTTAATTAGTTTTTATCCCATTTTGGCCCAAATAGGTAGGATGTCCTTGTCCCATGTCATCATAAACGTGGACCAATGTTCATCTCACCACGAACATGAAACATTTTGTTTTGTCCTGTCTGGTCCAATCCCATGTATCAAACACAATGCTCGATGTTTTTTGTATTTACTCAATGCTTTCTTATTATGAAACATAACTGCTCTAAAAAGGTTAGTGGCTTTCATTGAAAGTTTAGGTGCATGCATGGCAAAATATGAACATCTTAAAAGACACATAAATGGTTTGTCTACGGTAGAATTAAATTTGTAACCATATGAAATAGGCTAATAGTCTTCTAATGTGCTTATATTAAAAGCCTATAATTCATGAGTGTCCATTAATCTATGTATTTTAGCTTTGATATATAACAAGTATCTGTGGTTATCAGATTATTAACATGAAGATTTCTCCACAAAGAACTTTTATCCATAGAAAGAATTATGAGTAAGAAAATTATACATATATTATGCTTTTTATGTTTCAATTTGAAGTTTCTCAATGTCAGATTAAAATGCACGAAGAAATCACATGCATCAACGTAGATTACACATGGTTTCTAAATGTTGGTTTGTCTATACTCTCTATATCTTGGCTAAAGCATCTTATTAGATTACATTTTGGATGCAAAACTTTTGGATGTTGAGAATATGAGATTTTATACATACAGAGATTTGCGACTTGCAAGTGAAGATTTCAAACCTGAAAATAAGATTGGGGAGGGGGTTTTTGGTTCCGTTACTTTTCTTTTGGTCTCTCATGGTTCTATCTGCTGCTCATGAACATGGTTTTTTTCTTCGATTGGTGGTTTTTGGTTATCTCATGTTTTTTATCTGCTGCCCTTCTATATAAGAGTTTGTTGACTTGGAGACAGTTGATATATGTTTCCAGACTTGAGTTATTACTTAAGATACAACTTAAAAGAGGGATTTCTTAATTATATTTTGCAAGGTTCAGCCTAAATGGAAAATGTGATTATGTTGGGTCTTGGATGGACGGTTCTTGGTGAAGATTTTGCAGAATTGGTTGCATGTCTGCTTAGCAAATCTCTGAATCTAAAGAAGTCAATCATTTTTGTGTTTTTTTCAATGTCTAAAACACGTGTAGAATTCCATATGTTGGTCGGTTTTATTTCATCATTGTTTTACTTATGAGAAAATACCTTCATGTGGATGTTCAGTTTGTAGATGAATAAAAGTTTTGCAAATATTTTTCAATGTTCAAGCTCCTTTGGATCTTAATCTAAAAAGATATTGGAATCCATATCTGGAACCGTCTTTGAACGAAATCTGTTGCAGAGAACTGGGCTGCTATGGATCTCCAGGTTTGTTCTATCCCTATAATAGTCCAATTATTCATTTGTGATGTGCCTCCAGATGAAAATTACATTCAGTTTATGCCTATAAATTTTTGTTTTGACTTTAAATTTATTATTTTTATTTCGTGTTCTTAGTGTACATAATCATGGATCAAGGGCTTGATTGGCTACACCATTACATCTACTGTGTTGTTGATTATTTTATAATCTTGACAATGTTGATAATTTCTTTTGAAAATGGTGCTTAAAAGGGGGTTTGATATATATCCAACCTTTTACATTCCTACAACCCTTGCAACCAAATCCAACGTTCATTTGATCATCAATAGTTATTATTTGATTGGTTGTAACTACCCTTAATTAAAAAAGAAACCAAAAAAGAAATAAATGGATGGTAGATAGGTGGCTATCATCGGTTGTGTAATATAAAAGGGTTGTATTTGAACGCCCTCTCTCTCTCTCTCTCTCTCTCTCTCTCTATATCTCTATATATATATATATATATACTACATTAATAACCTTAGACCAAAAACTTAATTACAAATCTTAAAGCATAGATTACTACCATTTTATGCAAGAAATTCAAAAATCTCTTAATTACAAATTATTATACACAATGTACAAATTCTTTACACAAGTGTTTCCCATAGCGCCTGTGATAACCAGGTCCTGGTTATTACCTGAGGCAATTGTTATGTGATTACTTGATTATATGATTACATGAATGTGTGATTAATTGCTATAATTAATCATATAGGGTCATGCTTTTATGAGATTAATATATGAATGTGTACATTTTTCATGTATGAAAAATATGATTATGTATGTATGCATGGAAATGTATGTAGTTTTTATATGTGCATGCATATGAAATTGTGTGTGCATGTGTGTCCATGCATATTCTATGCATGGGTGTTGGGGTAAGTACAGGAAAAGAATTTTATAATTCTTGTTATGACCGCATTTCTTTTTAAAGGAGGTATAAATAAGGAATTTTTGGAAAAGGCAAGTTCCTTTTGCCATTTTCAGAAAGAAATCAAGAGAGTAAGCATATTGTGTGTATTGCTTGCCAAAATTGGAAAGTGAACTTGGGATCAATTTGTAGCTGATTCGTGTTTGTTGTTTTTTTTTCAAAACTCTGAATCTGCAAAAAAGTGAGTTTTGTAGAAAACAACCTTTGAATATTGTTAAGATTACTGGTTTTATGATTTAAATGAATATACTGGTGTTATTATATATGATGTTCTTATCAAATGTATTGACCGATAAAGAGTTTATAATCGGACAGTGTTGTTCGATGAGGACTCCTCACCGATAAGAACATTGTTCGGTGAGGGAGTGTGGTTTTATATTTTGTCAGGTAAGGTCTTTATTCGGTAAGAGCCTTGTCCGGTGAGGAATATTTACAGGACAATGTGTTGTCTAGATAGTGACTTGTCACTCTTTGTTTATGTTTAAACTCATGCGTTGACTGGTGAAAACTTGTGTCCGAACAACTGATGTCCGATAAGGGTATGTCCGGACACTATGTTGTCCGATGAGGGGGTATTCGATTGAGTGTTGTCCGGATAGGAGTGTCCGGCTGAGGATGTCCAAATATGTGTTGTTCGGATAGACTTGTTCAGGTAAGAGTTGGCTGATGAAGAAGTTATTGATAAAACTTTTGATTTATCTAATGGTAGGATTTCACAATTTCTGTTTAATTAGTTTTTAAACTGTTATATACTATGAAAAAGGTATCTTATATCTTTTTGTAAATTGGAAAAGATATTAATGTTTCTTCCAGACGTGGTGACATATGTCTGGTCTGGTATCAAACTATGTTTTGGGAAATGTTTCTTCCAGATGTGGTGACATAAGTATGTTCCGGTATGAAACTATGTTTTGGGAAATGTTTCTTCCAGACGTGGTGACATAAGTCTGTTCTGGTATGAAACTGTGTTTTGGGAAATGTTTCTTCCAGACGTGGTGACATNTTTTGGGAAATGTTTCTTCCAGACGTGGTGACATAAGTCTGTTCTGGTATGAAACTGTGTTTTGGGAAATGTTTCTTCCAGACGTGGTGACATAATTTTGTTCTGGTATGAAACTTTGTTTTAAGAAATAGTTTCCCACTGCAAAGTTTGTCTGCAAAGTTTGTCTCTGCATGAACAGTGTTGTATGCATGATGTGTACGATGAAAATGAGATATCAACATTGGTCAAGTCAACCCTTGCCTTCTTATCCTCAAGTGACAAGTGTCCCCATGCATTAAATGCTGAAGGTAGTATAAAAAGGCAGTGTGCATCTCCCATGCACAGAACTGTCTTTTGCAAGATTACTAAGTGCATTCTCAAAGCAATCGGCTATTCTCTTCTTCTCCCTTGCTCTCCTGTGTGCGAAGAAATTCTTAGTGTTCTTCATTTTCTTTCAAGAACTCTCTGTGTTGTTCTTGAAAGTTCTTCTCCTTGCAAGATTTTTTAGGTTAGGTTTTCCTTTCCTATCTTCCGCAACAATATTTTGTATATCTATGTGTATTAATTCTTGATATAAATCAATAAGAATTAAAAGTTTGAAAAAAGTCTGTGTAATTGTATTCAAACACCCTTGTACAATTACTTTCTGTTTATTACCTTTCCCTTCGGGACTAACAAGTGGTATCAGAGCAGTTAGCTTAATCTCATAAGCTAGATCTGCAATGGCCTCTTCTTCTTCCAACTCTACTCCTTCTTCTTACCAAGACAATGACACTATTGTCAAGCCTCCCAAGTTTAACAAGAACAATTTCTCTAGGTGGAAAAGTCGCATGACACTCTACCTTGAGGGTGTTGATAGTCAGTATCTCTCAATCCTCAAGGATGGGCCCATTGTTCCTAAAGTATGGCTTCGTCATGGGAAGAGCAAAGACGATGGTAACTCTTCAAATGAATCTGATGATGATGAAGAGAAATATGACTCTACTGGAAGGTTCATCATCACAGATCCTTCTCAGTACAATGAAGACGATAAAAGAAAAGTTTCCTTGGATACCAAGGTAAGAGCTATCATTGCCCTCTCTCTTCCTGATGATGTCTTCCATTCCCTGGTAAACCTCTCTACTGCCAAGGACATATGGAACACTCTATGTGTTCTGTATGAAGGAACCATCGAAGTAAAGAAAAGCAAGAAGATTGGCCTTGTTAGGCAATATGAGCTCTTTGTGCACGGGAAAGGTGAATCTCTCACTGAGTACTACAACAGGTTTAACAACCTTCTCAATGATCTGAAGTTTCATGGTAGAGTCTATGAAAACGAAGAAGTCCTATGCAAGTTCATGGACTGTTTACCTGACTTCTGGGAAAACATCTGCACTTGTATCAAGACAAGTAAAGATCTTGAAAATATGCCTCTTACTGCTCTTTATGGAACACTCCATAATTATGAGCAAACCAAGCTTCTCAAAAAGGCATTATTGAAGGATCCYAGAACTTCTTCTCMTGTTKCCCTTCTCTCCAACGATACGAGGAAGCCAGTCAGTGAACCTCGTATCACTTATCTATCTGACACTGAAGAAGATGTTGTCAGAAAAGAAGAACTTGCTGAAAGTCATGCTGATGATGCTGATGATGAGGGTGATGAACCCTCAGTTAATGACTTGGCTGACAACATGGCCATGATGGCTACCAACTTCAAAAGGTATGCCAAAAAGGGCTCTTTTACCTTCTCTCCCAGATCTAAGGTCATCGACCCAAGAACCTTAGATCAATCTAAGTCAGCTCCTCTTGAACTGTCCAATGAGGAGTGCTTCAACTGTGGCAAGAAAGGTCACTTTGCTGYTGAGTGCAAAAGCAAAAGGATCTCTAAGCGTCATCCTTATCATCCCTCTAGCCGATCCTCTCACGATAAGTACAAGGCAAAGTACAAGAGAGAAAAGGCAAAGAACATGAGCCTTCAGAGAAAAGGTAAGGGTCTCATCGCTGAGACTCATGACTGGATTGATGAGCCAACCTCTTCCTCCAGTGATGAGGACATGGCACATCTATGTCTTATGGCCAACATCTAGGAGATAGAAGACTTTGTCAAGGACTCCTCCTCTGCTGCTGCTGCTGATCTACCTTCTACCTCCAAGGATGCCAAAGAYCTGGTCAAACCAAAGAAGGTAAACAACTTCTCTTCTCTCTCTGAATCTGAAAAGGTTCAAGCTTATGATTCTTTATCTGTTGATCTTTACAATGCTAGATCTGCTAAGAAGAAAGTTGACCTTGAAATCAAAAGTCTAACTAGTCAGTTACATAAATGCATGAATCAACTGAAAGACTTTGATAAATTGAAAAATGACCTTAAAGAACAAAAGTTACTAAACAATGTTCTTAACAAAGAAAAATCTAAGGTCTTTGAGAAGCTAGAGAAAGAAAAAGTCATTCTTCAAAAATGGGCTAGATCATCCAAGAACCTAGATAAAATTTTACATGATCAACTTCCTATTGATGTAAAGGCTGGCCTAGGTTATGATGATATGGATTTGTGTGCTCCTGATGACTCTATGTGCATTTTTTCTCACATTCTTTCATCCTCCTCTCCATCTCACTTATCTGATGCTATTGGATCTCTTTCTCCTAGATCCAATGAAAATGGAAAATCTCTTAAGTTCGGAATTTTTGTCAAAGGTAAAAATTCAAACACTGAATCTGAGAATGTTCCTGTTGACTGTGTGTTTTACTCTCTTTCTCTCTCTCTCTTAAAGAATCTTCTGATGCATGTTCTTCTAAATCTAAAACATCTGAGCATCTAAAGCATCCTTTGAATCGTCGTTTCTCTGCTGCTGAGAAAGGCAAGTCTGTGGACAAGCCTATCAAGAATAAGAAGCTAAAATCCAAACTAAAGATGAAACATAAGCCTTCGGCTACCTCATCTCAGTCAGCTGTTGCTTCTCAGACTGGTACCTCAGTACCTTCTATTACTGAGTTCGTTCCTAGACCAGTTTCCTTGAAAAAGACTTCTAAGATTTCTACCTTCTCTAAGAAACCTATCCTTGAGTCTGAAAAAGGGATTCTTGGTCTAAAACCCTCTGCATCTTCTGTCCCTCCTTCCAAAGCTTCTTCTTCTCTCAAAAAATACAAAAAGCATGTTAACACAGTTAAGCACACACCTTTAATTTCTACTAAACCTGTGTTTATTTATAGAAAATGTTATAACTGTGGTGACACTTTTCACATGGCCAAGAACTGTCCCAARGAAAGAATCTCTAGGCCAGTAAGAGAAGAGAAAGAAGAAGATACTCCTAACCCCAATGGACCCATTGTAAAATGGGTACCTAAAAACTGATTATCTGTGTTTGCAGGGCTTAGGACACCGACAAATATGGTACTTGAACAGTGGATGTTCAAGACACGTGACTGGAAACAAGTCCCTGTTGATCAACTATGTGTCTAAACCTGGTCCTTATGTAACCTTTGGAGATAATGCCAGAGGTGCTACTAGAGGATATGGTGTTCTTTCTAACGGCTCGGTTACCTTCAATCGAGTAGCTTATGTGGATGGACTGGAGAACAATCTGTTAAGCATCAGTCAACTATGTGATCTCAACTTCATTGTAAAGTTTGAAGAAAACCAGTGTACTATTCTTGACTCTTCTGGCAAGAAGGTATTAACTGGTATCCTAAAGGATAATGTCTATGTGATCAACATGGACTCTTCTAGCTCTTCCGACGCCAACATCTGTTTCTACTCCGAGGCTATTGTTGATTAAAATTGTCTATGGCATAAAAGATTGTCCCATCTCAACTTCAAAACTATCAACAATCTTTCTAGTAAAGATCTGGTTATTGGACTTCCAAATATGTCATATGTCAAAGTGAAGCTGTGTGCTGCTTGTGAAAAAGGCAAGCAAACCAAAGCAAGTTTCAAGTCCAAGATGTGCTCTTCTATCTCTGCTACTTTGCACATGCTCCACATGGACCTCTGTGGTCCTGTGAGTGTTCAAAGTTTGGGTGGAAAACGTTATACTCTTGTTATTGTGGATGAGTACTCAAGATATACTTGGTCTTCTTTCTTCAACACAAGAATGATGCAGCTGAAGAAATTATCAACTTTGTGAAGCGGACTGAAGTCTTGAATGGTCAACTTGTTAGATCAATTCGAAGTGACAATGGCACTGAATTCAAAAACAGTGTTCTTGAAAGCTTTTTTGATGACAAGGGTATTTCTTGAAATTTCTCAGCAGTTCGAACTCCACAGAATA